GGGGGGGGGGGGGCGAGGGGGGGCTTGATTTAAGTGGCTGAGTTGTCAGAACTGTGCACAGATCTCCTTTAGGCTTGTACTTTCTATCAGATGCTCCAGGGAAGGGACATGTAATCTTTCCTGTAATATAGTGTATCTGCTGAATTCTTCAAGTAGAAGTTTCATTGCTAAAATATTCTGTCCAAAACTGCACTTGTGTCAATAGCACAATAATATTTCAAGTAGTAGTTTAATATTATGATGAAAAAAAAAAAAAGGATTATTATTAAAAGGCTTTGCTGCATTATAAACATTACCCTTCACTTTTGGTTGCCCTCTTTAAAAGTTTTTTAAAAGTATATTTTTAAAGTTAAATCTACAATATCTGATTCTGACCTTTATAATGTAAACGTTAGCTGTATTTCATATTTTATAAGGGGTATGTCTTGTTCAGTTTCTTCCCAGTGTGATTACCATTTTTTAAAGGAAGAAAAAAAATCTTTCAAAAATAAAGCATTATTAAAGGTTTAGAAACAAGAAGAAGAAGAAAAAATCAGAATAGGAAGGAGCTAGAAGGATGGGGGAAAGAGCTGTCTTGGAAATATCGCTGTCTAGACTGGGTGCTCATAGTTTTTTTGGGGGAAATGGATACAATGATTTAAAATTGTACAGCGTTCCATACAGAAACTAAAATTACAAACTGGTGTTCCCAGGCTCAGTAAACAAAAGTAAAATCCCTTAAAAAGTCAATGACATATTTCTGCCCATCCCTCTTCCTCATGAAATAGTTTTACATCATGGAGGTTCTGGTTGATTGGATTTATGATGGGAAATTGCATTTAAAAGTTGTTTAGACTCAGATCAACATTATATTCATACACTGAAAGGATAGGAAATATCAGTTCATCTCGTTGTGCAAAATAAAAAAATAGAAATGCTGTATTTTCTGACAGGTATTGCATCCGTTACTTAAGACAGGAGTTTCAGGAATAAGAAAGCTTGTGGGTAAGGAATAAGAATTGTTCAATGAATAATGTTTATGTTGCTAAAGTGACATTTACTACTAAGCCAGCAACC